ACATTAGGTCTTAGAAGTTTAATTTATCAATAAAAATCTTAAGTAGTAGAGAACTTATATCACTACTCCAGGAAAATTCTTCTTTAATTGTTTCCTGATCTGTAATATGGCAGATTAGAAAAAGAGCTTAGGTATTTGATCCCTTTTTCTAAAAACCACTCTCACTGGTGGGACTGAAATCTTATTATATTTCCCACCTGGCCTAAGACACACTTGATTACACTATAATATCTAATCCTTAGGTTTGTTAACTTTAAAATGGAGCTAATATTTATCTCATAAGATTGTTGAGAATTAAACAAAATAATTTATGTTTAGAGATATACAAAAAGTGCTTAGTAAGTGATAACTGTCTTAGGTTGGGGGTCCCTCGAATCTGACCCTTCGTCAATGTGTTATGGGTTGAATTATGTGCCCCCTCAAAAGACGTTAACATCCTAACCCCCAGTACTATGTATGTGACTTTATTTGGAAATAGGGTCTTTGCGGATGTAATGAAGTTGAGATAAGTTCATCAGAATGGGTCCCTAATCTAACTAGTGACCTTATATGACAGGAAGATGGCTGGTGAAGGCAACAGAGACACAGGGAGAATACTATGTAAAGGTGGAGGCAGAGATTAGAGTGATGCATTTAGAAACGAAAGAACACCATGGGTTGCCAGCCATCACCAGAAGCTAAGAGAGGAGCACAGAATAGTTTTCTCCTCAGAGCCCTAACAAGGAACTAACTGCAGCAACACATTTATTTCCAACTTCTAGACTCCACAACCATGAGAGAATAAATGTCTGTTGTTTTAAACCACACAATTTGTGGTACTTTGCTACAGCAGCTCCAGGAAACTAATATACAAGGATTGGAGTATTCGTGGTTTGTTTTGAAGGAGAGACCAGGAGCCACTGATGGCAGGGTTGGGACGTGAGACAAGGAAGAGAAGGATGGTAATAGAATGGATATGGATTACCTCTGCAGATGGGGCTCAGTCCTTTTGCAGACTCCTGGAGACAATGTGCAAGATGCCTCAGAGTTGTCCTGTCTCTGGGGAATGAAAACATGGATATATTTATTAGTATAAATATTGGTGTGTTAGTGCTCTATGGCCCCTGTAACAAATTACCATAAATCTGGAGGCAGAAAACAACAGAAACTTATTCACTCACAGGTCTAGAGGCCAGAAGTCTGAAATCAGTATGACTGGAATCATGCAGTCAGCAGGGCCATCCTCCCTGCAGAGGCTCCAGGGAAGACTGTTCCCAGCCTCTTCCCTCTTCTGGTGGCTACCGCTCGACACACTCGGCCTCTGTGGCCACATTGCTTCCTCCTCTTATGTCTGTGTGAAGTCTCTCTCTGCTTAGCTCTTACAGGAACACAAGTGATTGCATTTAGGGCCCACCTGGATGGTCCAGAATGAATCTCCCCATCACAAGAATCTTAACTTAATCATCACACCTTTGGGTCTATGATGTCTTTGGAAAACACTTTTCTCAGCCATGTATTTATCCATGAGCTTCCATTTGTCATCGGATGAAGGCTGCTCTCAGGGGTGAAAACCTCTTGGCACTTTTAGCCTGCCCTGCAGGAGTTGAGAAAAAGTCTTCAAGTGAAAAGATTCAAGTACTTGCAGAGGACTTTTTTCTGGCATGTAAGGAATGACAAGTGCTGAGAGGATGTCACTGGGACAACAAAAACACCTGCTACATTATTATTTTATTTTTTGTTATTATTTAGTTTTTTTGTTAACAATTTTAAATTGAGCGGGGAAGGGTAGAGCTCAGTGGTAAAGTGCATGTCTAGCATGCACAAGGTCTTAGGTTCAATTTCCAGTACCTCCATTAAAAATAAATAAATCTAATCATCTCCCCACAAAAACAAAAAACAAGCTTGCAAATGTAAATATCTAAATAAAAAATAAAAATTAAAAAAATTTAATTGAATACTTAATCATTAGTTTTAATTATTATTAGCTCTTTTAGCCTAATTTCCTGATGACCCACAATATAAATTATTTGCACTACCTGTGTAACCTTGCTTAGAAAATATTACCCACGTATCTGAACTTTGTCCTTTCCATAAGGGTATTCCATTTACGTATACACTGCTCTGTCTTTTCTTCCAAAGTAGCTTTCTTTCATCTTTTTTAGCACCTATGCAATCTCTTATTAGTCTCTATTTGGTCACACATAATTATCTTTCTAACTATATATATATATTTTTTTCTTAACTATATTTTAACATTGTCAAAGGTAGAGGTCATAACATATCCATTTTCAAGTTCTTAATGTTGGGACTTTGGAGATTTACATTTATAATCTGGTCCCACTTAGTAATTTCTCATAAGGATACATGAAGCATCTACTTTGAGACTGTTATGCACTTTTAGTTTCTTCAATGTCCCTTGTTGTAACTTGTATAAATTATCTTGTGGGACAGGAACACCAGAAGCCTTATTGTCCTATGACCACCTAGTGACAGTTTTCAAAGCAGTTTGCTGGTAGAAAACAGAAGAACTGTAATATGGTGAATGTCCAAGAAAGCCATGGCTTATTTCCAAAGATCTCTGGAATGTCAGGATTCTAGCTATGGGTAAATGAATGAAATAGGGACTGCTGGAAGAGGCACAAGTGAAGAATATAATTTGGTTTTGAACACGGTGATTTGATGTTCCATGGAGATATCCAGGAAGTAGGTGGCTACAAGACTGAAGCTTGAGGGAGAGGTATGGACTGGACAAACTATTTGGGAGTCTCTGCAGTTGGTAGATGAATGAGATCATGCCTGAAGAGCAAGTAGAGCAAGAAGAAAAGTAGAAAAGTAGGCCAAGAGTAGAACCCCGAGAATCACCTGCGTTGAAAAGTCAGGAGGAAGAGGAATGGAAAGAGGAGAACCTGGAGAAGAGACTGTTAGGGGAGTCAACAGAGTCAAAATTCTAATGTGAGAAAGGAGAAATGCAGCAGAGAGATCTAGTGAGGTTACCAAAAAAAAAAAAGAAAAAAAAAAAAAGAAAAAAGAAAACAAAAGAAAGAAATCTAATCCACGTACACTTAAAAAAATTTCACAACTTGGAAGTTCTTGGTGATCTTAATGAGAGCAATTTCAGTGGAATTTTATGGGAAGAATCTCAAAAGGGCTCACAGGAATCTCTTGGGACAATCCCTGTGGAGACAGTTTGGGGTAGCCCAGTGACTCTTCTTAGCCCAAGTGTCCAGGAAAGCTGTGGAAGATCCAAGGGTCTACAGCCCAAACTGAGCTCAGCAGTGGATTGACTGAATGGGAGATGACACAAAGCTGGGAATGATATAACTGAAAAACCAGATTACATTTGTAGGAATCATGTAAACTTCCATTTGTTGAGTTTAAAAAATAGTTTGCTCAAATTCAAGATGGGAGAAATTTAGCTTGGCAACAATTGCTTAAAAATGATCCAAAAGTTTTAGTTGATTATAAACTTAAAATGTGCCAAGAGTATGATTTAATTCTTAAAAAAGCTAGCACAAGCTTGGGCTGTGATACTAGAGAAGAGTAAGAGGAGACACCAGGAAAAAAACTACGTTTTTTTGTAAGTAAACACAAGCAGGGAAGGAGGAAAATAAAACAGTAAACAAAAGGAGATGGGTCAAATATTCTTAAATTTTAAAAAAAGACAGAGAAAAAAAAGGAGATGGGGTCATTGGAAAAAAAATTAAGGATGGAAGAAATCTGAATATATTTACAGGCCAAGGAGAAAGATCCATACAGAAGAGAAGGGATAATTAGTGATACAGGAGTCTGAGGAAGCTGGGAGAAGTTGGTTTTGAATTGAAATGGGGATGTCTCACCCTTGGAGAGACTGGAGGGAAGGCTGAAAGGATAGGAGTGACCACAAATAAGTTGTTATGTTTGGAAAGGAATTCAGACACTTGGGAAGAGCACAGGCTAATGTTTTCAATTTGATGAAGTAATACCCCAGTGGGACAGGTTCTGCTGTTTCTGAGAGTGTGTGCGGAAGAAGAGAGAGCAACAGGGAAATTGGGGGAAGCTGGAAGGGAGGGAAAGAAGAGTTCCAGATGGAATGAGATTCTTGGTCTTTGAAATGCGATCTAGCAATTGGTCTCAATCTCTTTAAGACCAACCCACTAGGGAGCTCAGAATCTTTTGAGCCTCTGCTGGCTTTTCTCCCCTGGCTCAGGAATGCTCCGCCAGACTCAGTGTCAGGGATGCGTTCAGCATCACAGATTTCTAAATTATTTTTATTTTATTAATAATCCGAAGTGGAATTCTTAAATTTATTCATCAAAAAAAATCTTTGAACCATTTTGAAAAACATATTCTCGCAATGCATAAATCATCCTATTAAAACTAACGGCTTTGGCGAAATTACTAAGCAGACAGAATTTACAGAAAGGTAACAGATGTAAAATACTGAAATGCAGTCATAACTGATTTAACTCTTTACCAGACAATGGTTGAAATTAAGGCAAAAAGTGTTTCAAAGTAAAACATTAAGAATCAGAGACTTTTGAGTGCCGGAAGGTCCTGAGAAATCATTAGCCATTCCACAAACACGCCCATAGGGCCTACCGAGGGCCAGGCGAGAGGGCGGGTATTACACAAAAAGAGTAAGCTCTTCTCTGTCCTCGCGACTTTACGGGAGGAAAGCTGACTACAAAAATTGGAACCTACAACAGAAAGATGAGACGAGCTACCTCCTACAACAAGCTGAACATGAGGAGAGGCACAAAATGCAGCAAGGTGACTGAAAAAAAAATCAAGTCCTTTCGTTCTAAGAGAAGGAGCCCGATTTCCTGAAGAATTTTAAGGAAATAGGACGGGAATCAAATATTCAGAGACCCTGTAAAGTAACCCCTGGGGACCACTCGCCTTTGGCGGTTCAGCGTTCCGTCAGGAGCGTGCAAACCCGGGCGCCTCGGGCCCAGGGCCGCAAGAACGCAACCGCGAGAGGGCGCGCGCCCGCCCCTGTCTACGGAAGTCCCGCCCCCATTTCCGGCGGCGGCGGATTGAGAGGGGCTGGGGCTAGAGGTAGCTTCCGGCTTGCACTGTGTTGCTGGTTCCGCACGTGTGTCGTCCTTTCGGGATCGCGGGTTACAGCTGCGCCTGGTGGATTTGTCCGGCCGGGACTACCTGCAGACTTCAGGATGAAAGCCGTAAGTGTCTCCAGAACCCTGGTCTCCTCAGCTAAGGGCTCCTTTGCCTGACGGTCACTGCTTGGTGTAGGTTTTCGGCGGGTTTTCGCCCTTATATGGAGGATGGTGGCCTAGATTAGGGGCTCCCTCCTGGCTCTAAGAGCTGTCAGCTTCCCTGCCCTTAGACTTGGCTCCTCCGTAGTGGCTCACCGTGAGCGCTTGGCTTCAGGGGGCCGCCATGAGAATTGAGACCTGAAACGAGTCCATTTCTCCGCCCCGTCCCGCCTGAAGTATAAGGAGATAGGAAAGCAAGTAGTTTCTGAGTGAGAGGTCACCAACAGGAAAGTTGGAATCCACAGACCTGTATTCATTTTTGTTTTCTTTAGTTTAAGGGTCTTAGACAAGTCACATTATGTTTTTAAGCCGTAGCTTCATCAGTAATATGAGGATAACAGCAGTTACTAATTAACTAGGCTGTTAGAGGTACTAAGTTAAGAGCACTTTGAAAACAGTAAAGCGATGCATACATACGAGTTGTTATTGTTAAAACAGTCAGCATTTTACCCTTAGTATGCCAAACTACAGGTGTTAAGCTAGCTTTGAATAACGATTTACCAGTAGCTCGGTGGTTCTTCACCGTGATTTGAATCTTAGACTCCTTTGAGCAGCTGTGGATTCCGGTCACAGAAAGAACCTCTGATTGAGTAATTGATGACCTAGTGCCATTCTGTAGGATTAATGCCATAGTTTGGTTTTAACTCTTATGTGTAAGATCCATGACTGTGAGACGTTAAAGTTGCGGAATTGGTCCGATGAAATTTATATATCAGTTCTCTTTAATCTGATTTTAAAAATGAAGTAATATAAATTTCTGAGTATGCAGTGTGCCTGTTGTTGTTTCCTAGAGAAGAAATAAAAAACAGGTCCCCAGCTTTCGGAAGTTGCTAAAAACTAGTAAAGTCAAACTTGAAAACAAGCTAAAAAATAAACAATTTAAACAACAAAGCACGCTCAAGAAGTACCGAAAAGAACAGAGGAAACTAAGGCAAGCTGTAAGAGATGCTGTGTCTAAGAAACCTGTTCCACTGGAGGACCCAAAAGAAAAACGACCAGGTAATTGTGAGAGCATTCACGTGCTCCAGTTTCCATTGATTTGTTCTAAAATGCTCTTCATGGAATAACTTTGCTTTCTAGTAATCACTCTTCTTGCTCTCAGATCTTCTGAAGAGTAAATAGAGTAGTCCTATATGAGGATCACAATCAGTATGAGAAAACATTTCAGTACAGTATTCACAGTAAGAAAGAGCTAGCCCTGCTTTTAGTTTGTCTGGAAAGTATATCTGAAGATACAATACATACTTAGGAAAACAAACTCGGAGTAGCCATGTAAGTAAATGTTGGGCAGCATGCCAGTACTGCCACTTTCCCATTAGTGAATGGCACTTAGTTAAGGTAGGAACTTTTCGCTGGGGCATTCTTTGCTGTGTTGCCAAGGTTTACTTAGTTTCCTGGACTTCTGGCTTTCTTTTCACTTGGAAACTTGGAGTGAATTTGAGCAGCAATTGTCAAGCTTATTCTTTGTAAACCTATTTAGGAACTCCCAAATACTCAAAACAGGTAAGGATTGTGACTATTTTGAGTCAGACCAGTTTTTCTGCAATGTTACTGGTACTTTCAGGGTATTCACATTTGATTATATCCAACTCTTCATTCTTCCCATGCCCATCTCATTCTCTTATCCTAACCTATTTAGTTTGAGCCTTTGGTAACATGTTATTGTGATATATAAAAGGCCACGGAACTGGAAGTCAGGAAACTTGAGCTTTTCTCTTGATTTTGTTACTTACTATCAGTGTGGCCTTAACTGGTCACTTATTTAATCTCCAGGTATTTCATGTATAAGCGAAATGCAGTGGTTGAGTTAGATGTTTTTTGAGATCTCTACTGGCTAAATTTCAGAAGAATTTAAAGAGCATGATGTGTTAATAATTATATATTAAAAATAAAAACAAAAGATTTCTTCATTCTCACATGTTGAGCATATAAATGAAGTCTCTCAGGCAGTTGTATATAGGAGTATAAGGTTCAAGGGAGAGATCTGGGTTAGAGAGAATAGTTTTGGAAATTATCAGCATATAGATGGTAATTGAAGCCTCAGACTTGGGCAGAATCATCATGGAGACTGTGTAGCAAGAGAATAAAGAGAACTTCAAACAGAATTTTAAGGAACCCTAGCATTTAAAAAACGGACAGAGGAAGAAAAACCTGTATTGGGGTTTGAGAAGGAGCCAGAGTATTGGGAAGAAAACTTGAATTGTACAGTGTTTTAGAAACCAAAAGAAGAATAGTTCAAAAAAAAAGAAGGAAACTCTTTATGTTCTAACATGAAATAGTCTGTAAAATAAATTTTTAATTTTAAAAAAGAAGGTGAAAATTAGTGTGTATTGAAGCGTTCACTCACTTGAAATTATAGGCTATCACCACATGTGAGGTAGGCTTACACCATTTGAGTGGAAAAAAAATGTATGTATACTCATAAACTCATGTAAACTATCACAGGAAGGATTAAAAAAAATGAACTTTCCTTTGACCCAACAATCCCACTTCTAGGAATTTGTTTTAAAATTATTTGAAAAAATTTGCCTAGAGTATATATGCCCAAGCATGTTCTTTGCAACATTGTTAATGTTAATAATGGCAAAAAAAAGAAAAAAGGAAGAGAGAAACAAAGAAATACCACAACCAAAAACTGATTGTTAAAATAAATAACATAAATGTACAATATGGTGGAATACTATACAGCTGTTAAGACTGAGGTAGAGCCGTATTCTAGCTATGATATACGAGATCTATGCAGCCAGTGATACAGTTATCCTCATTTCCTACTTTCTTCATATTTTTTCTTAGCAGCCACTTATTTTTCTCTTGTATGAAGGTTTAACTAGTTTAGAATATATTTTAAATTTTGGCAAGATATTGATGAATTGCCTGCTGGAAAATGACCATCCTAAAATGTTAATATAAAATCAGTAGATGGGAGAAGCTGATGATACAAGGCGAGAGAGGACTTAAATGGTAGAACAAGTCCAGTGAAGGCAAGAGCTTTGGAGATCCAGAGCACAGGAGGAAAAGTGCCTCTTCTAGTGTAATGTGAAGGAAAAAGGAAGAGATGGATGCAGATGCTCTTGAATTCATTGTGGGAAACTGCAGGAGTTTTTAGCTCATACCTTTTCTTAGTGACATAGGAAGCTGGATCCTCTGATGCTTATGAAATGATGTAGGTGATGGGATTAGAAGTGTGATGATAGTCAGAGATTTGAAAAGGTAGTCTAGGGAAGAGAGAAAGTAGACCAGGGAAATAAATCAAATGCTGGTTAGTTTTGAGAAATGACAGACTCATTTAAGGTAGGTCAGTGTTTCATTCTGTGCAGCATGTACATTTATATAGTGATATTTACAAGTGTTAGTGAATTCAGGAACAATTATAAGGTTCATTAGGAAAGATGCTAAGATTGGCTTGTTTATGGGTGGATCCTTAGTGGTTAGAACAGTGCTGGCACTTAGTGGTTATTCATTTTTTACTGGGAGAGAGAGAAGGAGAATGAGGGACAAAGAGAGTAGTTAGAATGATCTGTAGTTGGAATCTTGTTAGATGTGAATGCCTAAAATGTAGAAGGGGAAGTAGTTGAGGATATTGACAGGAGGATGTTTGAAGTGATAACCATGCAAACTAAGCGACTATCTAAGTAAAGATAGAACACATTGGTAAATTAAGTAGGATTAACTGAAGGTCTATATATCTGGTCAGGAAGTGTAGTGAAATAACTGAGTGAGAGCCAGAAGGACAACAGGTTGTGGTCAGAGTGGAGTGAGCCAGGGTTTGGGGTGTGGCCCTGGCAAGGGGGTGGCTGAAGTGGAATGGAAAGTCTTTGGAGATCAGACAGAGCTGAAGGGCTAAGTCATTGATTGCTTCTCAGATGCTCTGAAAGACATTGCAGAATGGGTGGAGACATTTATTTTTTGATTGTTACAGTGACCTAAGAATGCTGCTGGAATTTAAATTTCAGAGATCATTTTGCCTAGCCCACGACACTGAAGTACAACAGAGAATTGTCCTGCCTAGCGTGTCAGTAGTGCTCCCGTTTGAAAACACTGGGCTAAGGTATTAGGAGCATAAGCTTTTCCTGTTGGACACACAAAAATTCAGAGTTCTATATTTCTAATACTTGTTCCTCGTTTTTTCTTTCTTTCTTTCTTTTTTTTTTTGTGGAATAGGTAAAAGGATTGAGAGGGAAGAGGAAGAAGAAGAGGAAGCCCTTCCTTTAGATATGATGGATGAAGATGACTTACAGTTAATGAAGGATTTAGGACAAAGAGCATCTTTTCTAACGAGAGATCTTTCTTCTAGGTAATACTTCATTTACATTATGATCACTCACGTCCTTTCAGTGTTAAAAACTTGGTTGTGAATTTTACTTAAGTGGTTATGGTAAGATGCTGCTCAGCTCTGAACACAATGTTTACAAAGAGTAAACCCTATTCAGTTTATTTCCTAAATAAAGAGAGTTCATGAATAAAACAAGTTGATTTTATCTAGTGCGTATCTTTATTTCTTTTGAGTCTTAATAGTGAAATGAAGTGAATGGGTGAAGTATGCTGTTCTCTTTGTCCATGATCTCAGTCTTTATTACCCTATTAAGTAGGTATTATTCCCAGTTATAGAGAGGAAACTAATGCTTTCCCGTAGTCACAAGTAGTGGATCTGAAATTTAAACTTAGGTATTTCAATCTCCTAAGTCTATGCTATGCTCTGAAGGTTTTTGGGAAAGTAAAACAGCATGATGTCACCCTTGGCTCTGTGGATTATTCTTCAAAAGAAAAAAAAATCTATTTTTTATCTAAAGGGAAAACTAAATGTAGCTATGGTTGAGTCTTACAGTAGACTGTACAACTCATTTATTCATTTACTATTTGAATGCCTGCTGTGTTCCTGGTCTAGATGTTCATATCTCTATGCCTATTAAAGATTTGGTTATTAGTTTATTTTTCTGCACTTTAAAAATGATAGGTCTCTAGGTTCCTTTTTAAATAATACATTCAAACTAAAAATTAAGTTTTTTTCCTGCAGTGAGCCTATTCACGCCAAGAAACGAAAGCATGAGCGTGTTATAGATAAATATGAAAAAATACCAAGAACCCTGCAAACTGCACCAGAGAAGGAACTGATTCACTTGCTTCCTATCAAAGATAAAAGTGGTATAATCCCACAAACCAGGGAGAAACCAGGTGAGTCTCATCAGCCCTTGTATTAGTTACAATTTTAGCCCCTTACCAACATCACATTTTTTTTCACTCAAAATTTAATTTTATTTTGACTTTTACGCATATCTACAAAAAGGGGTAGCTCCAGTTTGTCATATAATAGCAAGCTTGGTGGTTTTGGCCAGAAGTAGAGATGATTATCTCAGGTGCGTTATACTGTGAGTACAGCTGAAGCCACAAGGTTCAGGTGATTCTTTGCAGAGTGTTTCATTCTAATTCTGTTGTTTCTAAAATTAGAGCATATTAGTCATCCCTTATTAGCCTTTTTTACTTATATGTATTTTCTATGAAATAAACACACAAAAGTCGAGATATCAAAGATGTGAAGTTACATGGTTTATCACAAAAACACACCCATAAAACAACCATCTGGGCAAGAAAGAAATACTCCCACCCAGCACCCAGAAACTTCCCTTGTGCTCCTCTCAGTCACTGATTGCTCCCTCCTAATAAAAGTAACTATTTTCATGAGTTTTTATGGTAATCACTTCCTTGCTTTTCTTTGTGATCACCACTTAAGTTTATTATGGCATTTTTAATTGCATGTTTTCTATATAGTTACTGACAGTAACCAAGATGAAGAGGATCAGGAAGAGACGGAACCTGAGGAAGGTAATAGGGTGCATCTTTCTAGTTACTAAATTGTTAATTGAGAATTACCCTTTTTTGCATAATAGTTAATTTTAGATAAAATCTGGAATGTGCATTTTGGAGTACTGGTCATTTCAAGGTCATTTTGAACATTTTCCCACATTTTGAAAGTCTCACCTTGTGTAATTTGATTCTTTATTGCTTTTATTATGGAACATTTTATGCAGTTATGTTTATGATGGCTAGGCTTGCATGAAGAGTCTTGTAAATTGTTACTGTTTTGAATTTCTTTTTAATTTTAGGTGAAAGACCTGCCTACAAATAACTATTAACTTTTTAGCTTTAAATTACAAAAGTGAATCCGTGTTATGAAACCATTTTGATTCTTTGTTACAACAATTATATTTTATATATGCCTGCTTTATGTAATTGAATGTGGCTTTCTAATGGCTGGAAGAGTTCTAATCAAAGTTAAACTTAAAGAACATATTTTATTGTTTGAAACTATATTTGTTTAGAATTTGTGATAAAACAAGCTTATTAAATTTTACTTTCTCTTAGCAGATCTTATTAGTGTAAATGAAATTACAGGTCAGCTATTTACCTGTTTTCAGGCCTCCTTTGTAAGAGACTCACTGCAGAGCATGCTTGTATGCTTATTAAATTTAGTTCCCTGTGAATTTCTTAAGGTGATGTATTTTGTTTATTTCAGATGATTGTATAGAGTTGAAAATGAAGGAGCATATTCTTTTTTATTTTTTAAAAAAATAAATCAGATTGCTTTTTTCCTTTAATTAGAATGAATTATTGTGGGTTTGTTAGCACAGTAGGTAAGAATATGAACTGTCAAGTCAGACTACCTGGGTTTGAATCCCATTTCTGACTGGTGTATGAGCAAGTTACTTTCTCTTTGCCTCGGTTTATCAACCAAGTGGAGTTAGTGATAGTACTTGCTTCATATGATTGTTGAGAGGATGATATGTAGTAATCATGTTCTATGGCAAGTGCTCGATAAAAGTTAACTCTCATTGTGACTATTGTTACTACAAGAAAATTATTTTACTAATTAAGTAATGCTTATAAATAAAGATGCTTGTAAATAAAGAAATGTTTAAGAGGGGAAACTTAATCTGTTTCAGAGATCGTTGAAGAACCCATTCGAGAGCTGACGTTAGAAGAACATTTAATTGAAAGGAAGAAGAAACTACAGGAGAAGAAAATGCATATTGCAGCCTTGGCATCTGCCATAATATCAGATCCAGAAAGTAATGTAAGTATAATTAATTTCTTTAGACTCTTCATATTAGATATGGTGTAAATGTCTAATCTTTTAAGATTCTCTTTTTAGCTATAAGCACCCATAAGAAGGAATAGCATTAACAAAATGTAGCAACTGAGTTAGAATAAGAGAGTAGACAGAACTTTAACCTAATCCTACATCTGAACTTCATTTCTTCTGTGACTTTAGAAGAGTCATTTAAATACTCTGAGTCTTGTTTTCTTCGTATCTAAATGAAGATATTGGACTTAATGTTGTAATTCTAAAAATGGTGTAAGTGTAAAAATTAGTAGTACTAGAGAGGAAGTACCAACTTGCAGATTTGTTTGACTGAACTGTAGAGTTATTAAGAAACATACTACCCAAAAGTCAGTGAAATTAGTACATGGATATGTAAGTGGAAAATATTTTTAAGTGAAAAAAACTGAAGAATTGAAATGAATTACCAGTGGGCCTTGGGCAGTGAAAGATGGTGATAGTTATAACATGTGAACTCAAGAATCCTGAGGTTCAGTCTTGGCTTTACTCAGTACTGTCTGTTAGACTTTGGGTAAGGCGTTTTACCCAAGACTCATTTTCTTCATCTTTAAAAAGAGGATAGCACCTAATTTTAAAACTTTATTGTGAGGATTAAGTGATAAAATATACATGAACTCATTTAAGTGGTACTATTATTCTTGTTATCTTTGTGTGCCCAGCATCCTACTGTGACAGATACTTGTTTATTGAGAGATAAAATAGAGTTATTTACATTTAAAGAAAAAATGCATGTGGCTTATGTTTTCAGTAATGCTTGTCCTTTTCTCATAAACTGTTGGGAAGTTCTGGAGTGGAATCAGGGATTGGAATTTGGAGTATTTCTTACCAGTATGATCTTGTTTAATCAGTGTAAGACCATGGAGACAATAACTGTCAATCTCAGTTTATAGCTGAAAAAATGAGGCTTAAAAAATTCAAGTGATTTGTTCCAGATTTTAACAGCCACTTGATTGGAACCCAGGTCTTCTAACTCTGGATCCTCATGCTCATTTCGTACAAGTCAGGGATGTACATAGGTGGTGGCATGTTTGTCCTACTTACTACTGTGGCAGACCTTGCTGACAGCACAGACCCTTGCTTTTCAAGATATCCCTTCAGCTGGCAGTGGTCGTTCATCCAATCAAGCACATTTGTTGAAGCCAGTTTTTCACTTCTTCAACACATAATACAAATGATCTTTATATGAGTCTTGTCGAAGCTAAAGTTAATGTGAATACATTATCATTAATTCCTGATTAGCTCATGTATAGGTGATTTATATACATGATTGGTATATGTAATGTTTTAGCATATTTCAGAAAGTGTTTTTACGAAAATGGGATGCATGTGCTTTAAGAAAACCTAAGAATTACTAAAAAACATGTAGATTAATAAATTTAAACTTTTTAATGTGTATTTTTTCTAACTGACTACGTAACAAAAATATGGTTCACTTACAACTTTAGTGATTTATCTGTTGTTAATGTGAGCAGTGTCTGGAGTGGTGTGTGGCTTGAGTCGACGATGAGCCATTGTGTGAATTCCACTTACTGTGCCAGATGTAAGGCTGTTGTCTTCTGTTCGTAATTGTTTTGCCATTTCTCTAGCTTTATAAGTTAAATTTCTTTAACAGATTAAAAAATTGAAAGAATTACGTTGTATGCTGATGGAGCAGGATCCTGATGTGGCTGTTACTGTTCGAAAGCTGGTGACAGTTTCTCTGATGGAGTTATTTAAAGACATTACTCCTTCGTATAAAATACGACCCCTGACAGAGGCAGAAAAATCTACCAAGGTAATGCTGGATATCACTACTACACAAAATAAGCTGAAAGTTTTGGAGAGCCTAGATTTGGGAGAAATAGTGCAGAGTTTTTTGTTTGTTTGCTTTTTACAGGACTGAGTATAGACTAGGCATTCATTTTGTGCTAATTTAAAAATGGTTTCAGTATTTTGATTTAAAAAGATGATCTTTTTTGGTCTTTTTAGATCCGCAAAGAAACTCAAAAGTTAAGAGAATTTGAAGAAGGCCTGGTTAGCCAATATAAATTTTATTTGGAAAATTTGGAGCAGATGGTTAAAGGTATCTTGAAACTATCTTAAACGTATGTGACACACTTAAGTTTGATCAGGAAGATGAATTCTGTATTCTGTCCTGTGTATTGAGAGTCAGAATCATGCATGGTCTGGATCAGGGTCTAGAGTCACTCTCTGGGTTCAGATCCTGGTTCACCTCTTAATATCAATGTGATAGGCAAGTGACTTAATCTGTCCATGCCTTGGTTTTTCTGTCTATAAAATGGGAATAAGATTAGTACTTACCTCATAGGATTGTTGTGAGAGGTGAATTAATTTATAGATATAAAGTGCTTAGAATTGGGCCCAACCTGTAGGAGACACTGTCAGCTATCAGTATTAACATTGTCGTTGCTGCAGTGCTTTACCTAGTGAGTAGTTGTATGTTTCTTGACTTCATGAATGGTTGAAATTTGTTCTGTTTTTTATTTGGAGGGGGTAGTCAGGGGAGAAGGATGACTTGAAATGGATGTAATGAGTGCCTTGAAAATGGACTTACACTTCAGTTATTTGGGATGATAAACTCTTCTATTGAACCTTTGTCCTCTCTCTTTGATCAGAAAGGGAAGAAAATAGGAAGCATTCAGGCATGAATGAGGAAGAGATTTAATTGCCAAGGCGAGGTGCTTTCACTTGACTCAGTTGGGCTTTTGTACTCAGTGCTGGGTCTATGATCACTTAGTTGCTAGCTCAGCTGGAACAGGACTGCTGACTCTCTTGGCTGAATGATGGCATGAAGGTAGGGGTGGGTGGCATGGGTGTTACTTCTGTGCTCTGGCATGCCAACTGGAACCTGTATACTAGCATTTGTTCTAAGGCCTGGGAGCTTTGTGTAGACCAGCACTGTTCAATAGAAGTCAAACATGAGACATGTCATCTAAACAAGTGTTAACCACACTGAAAGAAAAAGTAAAAAGTAATGAAATTAATTTTAATGGTAAATTATATATATATGTGTGTATATATATCCAAGTTATTTCAACATGTAATTAGTTTTAAAAATTAGTGCAATATCTTAGGTTCTTTTTTTTTTTGGTACTAAATTCAAAATCTGGTGTATAATTTGCACTCACAGCACATCTGAATTTGCACTAGTCACATTTCAAATGCTCAGTTGCCACATGTGGCTAGTGACCTCTGTACTAGACTGTGCAGGTGTAGGCCTTTTCTAAGCAGATTGAACCATTATGAAGTTCTTTTTTTTAATGTATTTATTTTTATTTTATTTGAATTTTTTTGGAGGGTTTGTTGGTGGGGTAGGTAATTTTTTTTTAAGTTTTTCTTTTTAAAAATTTTTTTAACATTTTTTATTGATGTATAATCATTTTACAATGTTGTGTCAAATTCCAGTGTAGAGCACAATTTTTCAGTTATACATGAACACTTAACTATTGGTGGGGTAGGTAATTAGGTTTATCCATTTTATTTTTTAATGAAGGTTCTGAGGATGGAACCCAGGACCTCGTACATGCTAAGCAGGCACTCTTACCACTGAGCATACTCTCCCCCCCTTTTTTTTAAATTAAAAAAAATCCTGATACTATATATAACATAAAATTGATCATTTTAACTGTTTTTAAGTGTATAGTTCTGTGGCATTAAGTAGATTCACATGTACAACCATCACTGCTATCCATCACCGAAACTTTTTTATCCTCCCCAACTGAAATTCTGCAACTTTTAAACGTTAACTCCCTGTTTCCTCCTCCCTGCAGCCTGTGAATGCCACCATTCTACTTTGTAATTTGACTACTCCAGGGAACCTCATAAGTGGAATCATAGAGGATTTGTCCTTTTGTGACTGGTTTCTTTCACTTAGCATAATGTCTTCAAGAGAGTCATCCTTGTAGCATGTGTCAAATTTTCCTTCTTTTTTAAGGCTGAATAATAATTCTATTATATTTATGAACTTTTTTTTTTTACCCATTTATGCATCCATTATGAAGTTTTGCTAGTTGTAAGTAAATGGAAGATACGGTTCTTACTTATGGTGAATACAGTCTCTTTGAGGAAGGTTCATATCGATGAGAAGCAAGTTTAAAACAAAGACACTGTCATCCATCCCTTTCTGGCTGTGTATGATGTGGAGGGAGGTATTGAACCTACTCTAGAAAAAACCCAGCAGATTTCCATCTTCTTATATTCAATATACTGTTACAGTACCAGAGTATGTATGTAGAAATTTCTAACAAAGAGATACTGTGAATCATCAATTATTTTGAAGGGGAATTTAGATATCTTCTGGACCACCTGGGTAAAGATACCACAGTGAGCATTAGCAAGAAGCCAGGGAAAAAAATATTTATGAAAAGCCAAGGTTCTTGTAATCGTGGTTAGAGTCGAAATGTGGGTGATGGTAGACAAATTTTAATGATACCATTTGTACTCGTGTCTAAGTGTAGACAACTCATATTGAAGAATTCATGTGGTGTATTGAGTTTTCATTTTATTGCTTATTGCTGTCAATTTGAAAGCTAATTAATTGAAGTTTTGACCAATGAGTAAAATAACTCCAGTTATCTTTTGATTAGACTGGAAGCAAAGGAAGCTGAAGAAAAGTAATGTAGTTTCCTTAAAGGCATACAAGGGCCTGGCAGAGGTGGCAGTGAAGAGCCTGTGTGAGCTGTTGGTGGCCCTGCCTCATTTCAACTTTCACAACAACATCATTGTATTGATTGTTCCTCTCATGAATGACGTGTCAAAATCGGTGCGTTGCTGTTTGTTGCTATTGTCCTTAACAGAAAATTATAGATGATGTGATTATTTTTTTTCTCTTGCTCAAAATTCTTCTAGAGCTATTACTTATTGCTAAGATAGGGTCCTTTGTTAAACACTGTCATTTTAAGAAAATTATTTGAACATAAGTTTAGTGCAGTGGTTCTGAATAGGGGGCAGTTTTGCCCTCCAGAGAACATTAGGCTGTCTCTGGAAACATTAGACCAGGTCTGCACACATTTTGATTGTTACGACTGCCGTGGTTGGGGGACTGTTGCTTCTGGAATCTAGAGGGTAGAGGTCACTGAGGCTTCTAAACATCCTACAGTGCACAGGACAGGCCTCCACAAGAAAGTTATGTGGCCTAACATGTAAGCACTGCTGAGGTTGAGAAACACTGGTTTCGTGTAACATTTTATTTTTCAGATATCTGAAATGTGTTGTGAAGCAGTAAAGAAACTCTTTAAACAAGATAAATTAGGCCAAGCTTCCTTGGGTGTAATTAAAGTGATTTCTGGTTTTGTGAAGGGCAGAAATTATGAAGTTAGGCCAGAGGTAAGCCTTTCTTTTCTTACTTTGCATTGTGTTTGTTCTTAAATTGCAAAGTTAATTTTCAGTTGTTACGAGGAATTTACTTTTTATAGATGTGTGTAAAGTGACAGTACTCAACTCTTCAAAAATAATCACTCAGTTTGGTATGTATCCTTTTGGATGTTTTTCTGTGCAAATATAGACGTACTTTGTTTATATTTTAAAATAAAAAATGGTTTTATGCTATGGAAACTGTTCTGGAGCTGTTTTCATTTTACACGTTGTGGACTTAACGTAGAGGGCCAGCGCGTTCTTCGTAATGTGTGCTCTAGTATTCCGTTACGTGAATATATAGCCCCTACGTGATGGGCAGCTGAGTTGTTTCTAGAATTTTGCTGTTGTAGTCAGCATGGAAGAGAACGTTTTGGCCACATTATTTTAGTACACTTGTATGAGTATTCTGTGAGTTAAATTTCTGAAGTGTAAATACTGGATCCAACAGTATACACATTTAAATATTTGAAAGATAATGCCAGATTGTCCTCCAAAAATGTTTTATCACTTGTGTTCCCACTGTCATTTCCACAGAACCTACCTAGTGCTGAATATTTTTGCTATTTAATCTTTGTTAGTCTAGTAGGTAAAAATTTATATATATTAGTAAATGTTATTTTGTTTATACACTTTTATTAGTGAGGTTTTACTTCCTTTCATACATTTGTTAGTCATTTGAATTTTTTGCCTGATTGTATTGTTTGCCACTTTTTCTCCTCAAGTATTTGTCTTTCTTAATGAATTGTTATAAATTGTTAAATATTTATTTCAGTAAATGTGAACTGTGTACTAGGCACTATTCTAGGTCCTGAGGATAAAATAGTGAACAAAAGAAACAAAAGCTCTGTGTTTGTTGAGCTTATACCTAGTAAGGATGTTAAGTCTTAGATAAGTTGCAATTTATTTGTTACTCTTAATTTTGTATTGTGGTCTTTTTACTTTATAGAAGCTTTAAATTTTAATTGACTTATTTTACAGAATTGATTTTTTGTATTCAAGAATATCATGTATCTTGCCATTTATTGAAGGCTTCTTGTATGTTCTTAAGTGAAGGTTTATTGTTTCCTTCATTTGGGTCTTAGATATTTTCATAACTTTATTTTTAGTCATATGGTTTTGATAGTTAAGCTGATATTTTCTACTCTGTTTTATTTCCTAATTTCAAAGTCTTCCATTGCCATCAAATCCTTTTCGTTTCTTAAGGCTGATAATTTTAGTTGAACTGCTAAAATTATAAGTAATTAAGTATTACTTAGAATTTTAGAGTAATCAGATTATAAAGCTTGAACATGAAATTGAACATAGGGGAACAGTTTTACTTTAGTGATGCTTACATATAAACTGTTGCATTCTTTAATTCCTTGGGTGTGTGTTTTGTGTATATATAGTTTGTATAATTTTTTTTCTTTAAGGTGTACAGTGTGATGATTTGATATGCATATACACTTGTCTATTTTTTCTTTTGTTGCCTGTGCTTTGGTGTCATATCTAAAAAATTATTGCTAAGACCAGTGTGAGGGAGCTTTTCTCCTATGTTTTCTTCTAGGAGTTTTGTGGTTTCAGGTCTTACATTAAGTCCTTAATCCATTTTGAATTAATTTTTGTGACTGGTGTAAGATAAGTGTCCGGTTTCATTCTTTGGCATGTGGGTACCCAGTCTTCCCGACACCATTTGTTGAAGAGACTGTCCTTTCCCCATTGTGTATTCTTGGTGCTGTAATCAAAGATTAGTTGACCGTATGCTGCATTCTTTGATTTGGAGTAATTTTTCATTTGTGGGTGATATTTTATGAGCACTTAGAATAGCTACAAAATACTCAAATTGATCTTTCTGAAACCTAGAATGACTTCAGATTCAGTATTTATGCTTTTAGTTTTTCCTTGTTTCCATTCTGTACTTTAAATGAAATTCTCAGCCTTCTTCCAAATGTACATATTGGAACCTCAAAATAACACAGATCTGTAGTTCTCAATATATATATATTTTTCCAGGAATGCTGTTGTGACTGCAGATCATTAGAGTGGTTTCCTCCTGAGAAATTGTAGGAGTTTAACCCCTCTTTAGTCTGTGTTTGGATGGTTGTTGTAGCACACAAAACACCAATTTCTAAATTAGTTTCTGATTTTTTTTTTTTGAATGACTGAAGGCAGTGGTTTTCATTGTGGTCCCTGCATCAGCTGGCAATTAGAAATATAAATTCTGGGGCCTTATTGCAGACTACAGAATCAGAAACCTGGGGATGGGGTCTAGTTATTTGTGTTTTAACAAGGCCTACTGGTGATTCTGACGTTTGCTGAAGTTGGAGGTCCACTGGCTTAAAGGAAGATAAGTTGTTTTAAATTAATAACACTAGTCTTCTTGTCATTTTTTTTATTACTTTTTATTGAAATGTAGTTGATTTACAGTGTTAGTTTCAGGTGTACAGCAAAGTGATTCATTTATACATATACATAAATACATGCATATAGTTTTAGTTTCTTTGCCATTACAGCTCATTGTAAGAAGTTGAATATGCTTCCCTGTTCTATACAGTACGTCCTTGTGGTCCTTGTTTATCTGTTTTGTATATAGTACTGTATATCTGTTAATCCCAAACTTCCTAATCTATCCCTCATCCCCCCACTGCCCCCAGTAACCACAGTTTGTTTTCTATGACCTGGTTTGTAAGTCTATTTCTGGTTTGTAAATAAAATTTGTATCTTTATTTATTTATTTTTAGATTCCACATATAAGTGACATATGATACTTCTTTCTCTGGCTGATTTATTCACTTAATATGATAATCTCTAGGTCTGTCCATGTTGCTGCAAGTGGCATTACTTCATTCTTTTTTATGGCTGAGTAATATTCCGTTGAGATATAGATATAGATATATATATATATATATATATATATATACACACACACACACACACACACACACACACACACACACACACACACATCACATCTTCTTTATCCATTCATCTGTTGATGGACATTTAAGTTATTTCCACATGCTATTTTTATTGAGAAAAAAAGATTAGAAATCTTAATTACAAAACAGAATCTGATATGGGAAATTAAAGCTGGTTTAGAAATAGCTAATAAATGTCCTCTCCACCCATACTGGTCCAAACCTTTTTCTGGCCTGTCTGCTCTTTGTAATCCTGTCTACCAGTGCCATGTAGTGTTAGTGTTCTCTCTTCCTTGTTCTTATTACACTGCAAAATAATGTGTATTTAGACAAATACTAGTGTCCTTTCTTAGACACAAATTACTGAATGTTTTTTGGCAAAAAGATAATAGAACTTGTATAAAATGTGATTAAAGATGTTTCAAAGTTTTGTTTTGGCATGAAGGAAGGAAATAACATTGTTAAATGCTTATTCTGTTCAAAGTATTTGAGGGCAGTATAAACGTTAAGCTGTATATTTATGTTTTCTTCAATATTAGATGTTAAAAACATTCTTGTGCCTAAGGATCAAAGAAGTAGAAGTGAAAAAGGATACAGAGGATATTAATAAACCAAAAAAATTCATGACTTTCAAGGAAAAGAGAAAAAGTCTATCAAGAATGCAGAGAAAGGTTTGATTTCCTTTTTTATTTCATTTTAGATTAAAATCATGGAATATGTACAGGCAAAAACATAGTTAAATCATAAATTTAAATATTTTAAAATCTAATGTTTAGGTAATTTTGTTTTCCCCAGTTATTGCAAAGAAATGTTTTATTAAATCAACTTAAACTCACAGTCACAGTTCACTGGCAAAGAGAACAGTAGATGAAATGGTTTTCTTGCCTTGCTGGCGTTTAAGATCCTCTTAGATTCATTGTGATAACACAGATTCCTTCCTTAACAGAAAGGATGTATTCATGTGAAGCTGGCAATGAAGTAGGTTTTAATTAAATCATGTTTCTCTGTTGGTTTGTGTTTGAAACCTAGGTTGAAATTCCAGCCTTTTGTTTACTTACTATGAGACTTTGGAAACTTTTAAAAAATATTTTGAGAAGTAGAGCTAATAACAACACCTACCTTGCAGGGTCATTATGAGTTTCAGTAAAATGATGTAGGTAAAGTACTTAACAGAGTGCCCAGGAGTGGGCGTACTTCATAACCGTTAGTTACCACTGCCTCCATCAATATTATTACCACTTCTCAAAACATTTCTAAACAGTTTATTAGGACTATCAACTTGTTTATAAAAACAAAAGAAAAAATAATTTCTGGGGATATCCATCTTTGTGTCTAATAAATTTTGAAGACATGGCAGGAATATCAAAATAGACTTAATAATTGTTAACAAATGAAGGTAAATATTTTTAATTGTTTATACTATCACAATTGTTTATACTATCCTAATGTAAGTTGGATGTGCCTGTTAAGAATAGCATGTATGTGGCTCTGATGGGGAAACAAAGACTCAACAACATGGCAGTTCTTTAACAAGTTGATGTGAGGGAAGGAAACTATTCCTCAGTCAGTCCCCTGGGGCCCAGGCAGCTTAGCAACCATTGTTTGTTGCCCTTACAGCATAAAGGAGTGGGAAAAAATTGGTATTTTGTTGAATTTCTCTGTGTATAGCATCTGGTTTTATGCATTGTCTGTAAATGAGTTTGGGAAGTACGGTTGATGACTGGTTTCCATGTTGTAGGTGATTTAACAATAAGAATTATTTTGGGGTCAGCATGTTCTTCCCTTTTTTCTTTTTTAAAAATTTTAATGTAAATTACAGAAAACTACAGAGGATAATAAACATATCCCATATATTTACCATTCTGAATGAGCAAATATTAATATACTTAGGTTTTTTCTTGAAAAGAAAGAAACCACTGGTGATAGAGTTGGAATCCCCTTTGTTCCCCTCCAGTCTTGTTCTGCCCTCCTCCTGAGAGGCAACCACTGTCATAAATTTGGCTTGTTATCCATGTTTTTCTACTCTCTTTTGCTTATATTTGTATTCATAGACAATCTATGGTATTATTGTATGTGTTTCATAATCTTTACACTTAATGCATCTCTGAAGCTAGCTTTTTTTCACTCAGTGCTACACACTCTTTTTTCAATCTGTTTTCAGTGGAAGAAAGCAGAGGAGAAACTAGAGAGAGAGCTTCGGGAGGCAGAGGCTTCAGAGAGTACTGAGAAAAAACTTAAACTGGTAGGCAGTTTCACATTCTCTTAACGCTTTTAAAATGTCTTGGTAAGTGATTATAACTAGAGACTGTTGTTTTAACTTGTGGTTATGTAACTTTGGTTTATTTCATGACGCTTAGTTGTGATATGTGAGAAATGACAAAGTGATCGACGCTAATTTTACGAGATCATAGGATGTGTATCTTTATTCTGTTTGTTTATTTAGGTTTATTTTCTTGGAGGAGGGAGGTAATTAGATTTATTTATTTATCTATTTACTGTGGGGTACTTGTGCATGCTAGGCACGTGCTCTACCACTGAGCTGTATCCTCTCCCCTATTCAATTTTGTTGAAACTCTTAATATTGAGTTGTGGGGAGGGATGGGAAAGACCAGAAAAGATTGAGCTTTGAAAGGGACAGTTATGGTGACCCAGGAGAAAGTACTCTAGGTTATATCAAAGTCATTTTGTTTGTTTGTTCTGCCAGCACACAGAGACTTTGAATATTGTGTTTGTAACCTACTTCAGAATATTGAAGAAGGCCCAGAGGTCACCTCTCCTGCCAGCAGTTCTAGAAGGTCTTGCCAAGTAAGGGCTGTGTAGGTTGAAACCTTTTAGATTCTTTCTAAACGCATAAGACTGAAATAGCCATGAATTTTAAACAGGGTTCACTAACGATGACCCAGCGTCCATCTCAGTTCATTCCTTTTTTATTTGTCACCAGCTTTTCCTTGAAACTGTCCGCAACCCTGCACTGTTTTGGTTTTTTTCACCTCAAATGTTTTATTTTGTGAATCTCCTTCACTGACTCTTTCCTTCTGCTTGCTTGCTGCTCGCTATCCCTGAGGTTCGTCTCAGTGCTTGTTTCCTTCTGCTCTGTCATCAGTTTTCACCATCAGTTTGAATGGTTCACGCCGGTGACTCTCGGGTCTGTTCCTGCCCAACTTGCACATAGTTTCTCTAGTCCTGTGTTGTCTGTTCCTCTCAAGACAGATCTTTTTGTATTTTCTGTCAACACTGATGAACCTGTTAGGGGGTGTGAGCCAGGATAATAGTTGTCATGATAGTTTCCTACAGTTATTTGAGGTATTATGCTGTAGAACAGCACTCGCCCATAGAAATATACTCTGAACTACATACCTAATTGAAAATTTTCCTTTAGCTACATTAAAGAAAAAAGAAAAAACAGGTGAAATTAATTTTATATATTTTATTGAACTCAGCTTATCTAAAATACTATTTTGGCATACAGTCAGCATTAAACATCAGTGAAATAGTTGGCATTCTTTTTTTTCTTAACGTATCTTCAAAAACCTGTGTACATTTTACACTTAACAGCACATCTCAGTTTGGACTAGCCACATTTCAAATGCCTAATGGCTACCATTGTTGGACAGCACAGCTTTAGAAGTAGGGTTAATGTCTGAAAGATAGAGAAAGGGTAAGTTCAGTTCAATATAAAATAAATTATTTTCTAATGACCGCAGCTAGCTGGTGATGCGATGCTTTCCCTTATGAGGTGGTGTAGTCCTTGTCACTGCAGAGAGATCAGTCAGAGTTTCAAAGAGGAGGGATTATTCTTAACATTAGGTGGGACCTGTTTGTTTTTCAGTGACTAATTTCTTTAAGCAAATTTTTAATAATATATACTCATTTAAAAAATTCCAATAATGTGATTAAAAATTTAAAAATCATAAGTTCCCCCTCCTATGTGGGAATGTAAATCTGCCCACCTGCCTTCTTTCATACAAATTGAATCTTTCACACAAATGAATACTATTCTGTAATTCCTTTTTTTTGGATAAACTTATTCTGAGTATCCTTCCACGTTAGCACCTATAGATAGACTTCTTTAAGTTCGTAATATTCCATTTTATAGCTGTATAATACTTTATTTGGTCAGTCCCCAGTGTTGTACTGGGAATATTTTTAATGTACTTGTGTGCATATATTGCAGGTCAAAGGGTATGTTCATTTTAAATTTTAATAAATATTGCCAAATTGCTTCCCAAAAAGGTTGTGCTGATACACAGGGAATGTGTGACCTCTAAGGTCCTTCCTCCTAAGATTTACATAGTGTCAAAGGCTCTTGCACTAATATTGAAGAGATATCCCGACTTTAACTACTTGAGTGCCTAATATTTTATAGTGTACAGAGTGCTGTGACATTGAGTTGCTCACGTGATTCTTTCTCTTTAACGCTATTGAGTGATTTCACTTATTTCTAGAAATAGAGGCTGGGAGAGTCAGTTTTTACACAGGATTATACAGGTAATTAATTGTTGAGCCTGAACTAGACACTAGGTCCAACATTTTTTCTCTTTTATTTTTAAAGCTTTCCTAAATTTTTTTATAAATAGCAGAATCTTTCCTCCTTTCCTTCTTCTTGCCCTGTTTTTCTAGAATCTGTTGCTGCTGGCTCCTTCATTGCTGGACACCTGGTAAACCTCCCTCAGAGAAATTGTTTGCTCTTAGCAACTTCTTTCTCAGAGGGAAGTATTTTTGAAAAATTTAGTTTGTCTTGTGCCACATATATTCCTGCTGAATATGGTGTCCAGTTGTGGTTGGATTGTCCAAAAGGGTGATCTGAATTAATAAAAAGTATTAATAATCATCATCATAATCATCATCATCTCCATTGTGACTAACACTTTGAAATTAGGAATATTAAAAATATGGTTTCAAAGTCAAGTTTAATTTTTAGCTGTTTTGTTTCTGTGTTTAGGTTATCTTTTAACTAAGTTTTGTTTGATTTTAGGTTTGCCCATCTTATAAATGTGGAGTTTTTTGATGATTTATTAGTAGTTCTGCATTCTCTCATTGAGTCTGGTGTAAGTAACTCTGCTAATGAATTACTTTTTAAGATATAAATGGTAATTATTCTTAATATCCTTTTTCTTTTCTTTTCTTTAAGGACCTAAGCTATCAAGAAAGTCTGCACTGTGTCCAGACCGCTTTTCATATTCTTTCTGGGCAAGGTGAAATATTTTCTTGATCAGGTTTTGTTTGCTTTACCTTTGGAGGCAGTAACATACCTAATTAGTGTTTGTTGTCATTTCAAAGGTGATGTTCTGAATATTGATCCAATGAAATTCTATACACATCTTTACAAAACACTGTTCAAGTTACACGCAGGTATGTATGTTTAGATAATGTGTCTTTAGTAAATCTTTGTCTTTTAAGAATATAATGTGACCGGAATTGTAGTCAGTGAAAATTGAGAGAGAGGAGCTGAGACAGAAAATGCTGGTCTGCCAGTGCCACACGTCTCTGTTTAACTGTATGTGAGTCTTGGAGAGAGCACTTCCGGAATTGACTGGAGATGCAGTACAACTTAGGGCTTCATCTCTTGAGCAGTGTAGCACTACTTCATCATTTAGGGAAGTGATGTGGGGCAGGTGCGACAGGTTCGTCTTGGATTTTTTTCCAGAGTTCAGTGAAATTGTGTAATGAAAAAGTAATGAGAACAGCCCTGAAGAGTATACCTGCTGTTTTAGGTGCTACCAATGAAGGTGTTGAGATTGTGCTCCAGTGCCTTGACGTCATGTTGACTAAGCGCAGAAAGCAGGTTTCACAGCAGCGGGCCCTTGCCTTCATCAAGCGCCTTTGTACCCTTGCTCTTCACGTTCTTCCAAATTCAAGCATTGGCATTTTGGCAACTAACAGAATATTAATGCATGTAAGTGGTGATACAGATGAAAAGAGCTAAGTTCTTGCCATGCAGCAATGGTGTTTTGTTTGATGTGTATCTTTTTTCCTCATTTAATTATATAAGTAATTCACACTTGTAACAAAATTAGGTGATAAAAAGAAGTACATAAAATTACACAAAGGAAAGCATTCCACCCTTATTGACACTCTCTAGAGATAACTAACCATTTTTACCATTTGGTAGGTATCCTCCCAGCAGACTTAAAAATTTGGTTATAAATGTGCACAACAAACACAGGAAAACAATAAAACTTTTTTTTTTAAACTGGAAAGGGGATTGAGGGGATTACAATATATATTATTGTTCTACAAGTTTTTTAAACACTTAATGGTGATGAACACATTTTTGTGTCAGTACAAATAAAACTATTTTGTCTCCTTAATGACTATATATAAAGTTATTGGTCTAATAAACACTTACATAGTTCTTATTATGTGACTTCCATGTTATAAACGCTTTACAAAAATTAAGTGACTTAATTTTTGTAACAATAATGAAGTAGCTACTACTATTGTTCCCAATTTATAAATGGGGAAAACTGAGGTCCAGAGATGCTAGGTAACTTGCCTAAAGTGACACTGCTAGTAAGTGGCAGAGGTGAGATTTAAATTTAGGCAGTTTGGCTTTTACACTTCGCATTTTTCTTTTGGTGGACATAGGGTGTTTCCTTTTTTTTTTGCTATTATGAATGATGCTTAGTGAATATTCTTACATGTGTATCTAATGTAATTATTTCTATAGGAAAAATTCCTAAAAGTGAGATTGCTGAGTGAAAAGAGTATCTATTTTCTTTTCTAAGATAAAAATGAATTCTTTTCAAAACAAGCTAAGAAAATACTCTTCCAATTTTTGTCCTCTTACAGTGTAAAACTTAGATTGGAAAAATTAAAACTAGATATAAAGTGCCTGTGCTTATAGCTCTTATGTAACCATAAAATCAAGTTATGTTTAAATACAAATAAAAGTACAGAACCCAATAACATTCTTAAAATTAACAGTGTTGCTTTAATTAATCCTTCCTTTTGTTGATATTATTGTAGACTTTCCCCAAAACAGATCTGTTGCTTGACAATGAATCTCAGGGAAGCGGAGTTTTCCTTCCTGAGCTGGAGGAGCCCGAGTACTGCAATGCTCAGAACACTGCCCTTTGGGAATTGCATGCACTGCGGGTAAGAGTGCCCCCTCCCCGTCTTTTTTTGTGAGTAGTTTTTTTTTCAGTTTTCCCCCAAGCAGTTATAATTGCCATAGAACTTAACGTATTTTATTCTGGGACCACCTCTCCTAGAAATTTTGTTTGTTTGTTTGTTTTTGTAGGGGAGAGGTAATTAGGTTTATTTAACTTTTCTTTTTTTAATGGAGG